GCCCGGGCGCGTGCCCTCCGCCGGCGCCGGCGGGGGAGCCCGCCAACTGCTCCCCGCGCTGCAGCAGCGCCTCCAGCCAGACATTGGCCTGCTCGTGCACCTTTGGCGGCGCGCAGAAGGGGGTGGAGGGAGGGGGGAAGGCTTCTTAGAAGGAGGCTGCTTCTTAGAAGGCGGCGGCCTCACATCTATACATAAGGACCGCGCCTTCTAAGAAGCAAGGGTGCTTCTAAGAAGCCTTCCCCCCTCCCCCTACCCCCCTCTGCGCGTGGCCGACACCTGCTGCGCGCGCGGCCGGCGAGAGGCGTCGGTGCCGCAGCACTCCGCCACGAGCGGCTCGCATGCCTGGGCGAGCCAGCCCCGCGCCGACCAGTCGGTCTGCGGATGCGCAGGGCACACCTCGCTCCCCGGCAGCCTGCCCGTGATGATGAAAGATATCAAGCAGCCGAAAGAGAACATATCGGCCGCCGTGTCCGGGCTGCTCCCGCGGAGGACCTCTGGGGCCACCCACCGAAGGGTCCCCCCCAGCGGTTTCGCCCTCATCGTCAGCGCCCTGGAGAGGCCGAAGTCCAGGAGCTTGGCCGTGGGAAGACTGCGCGGGCAGCAGGTGCGCTCCACGAACACGTTGGAGCACTTCAAATCTCCGTGTACCACCTGAGGGGCTCGTGAGTGCAAATACCGCAATGCCGACGATGAGCCAACGATTACGTGCGCACGCTGCACCTCCGCTGGCGGCTCCAGGGCACCGGCCCCCGAGCTTTGCTTCCCACTTTGGCGCTCACAGAGTATCCGCCACCGTGCCTGCACGGAATGGGCGTGTTGGAACCCGTGCCGGCACGGGAACGGAAAGAACGCTCTGTCCGTTCCCGTGCCAGGGTGGAACAGAACGCTCTTTCCGTTCCCGTGCCGTGTGCGATATCGGAGCCACCCAGCATGAGGCGGGGCGGCTCCAAGGTCGCACAAAATCGCTCTGGGGGGCCCTGGCGTTGAAAGCATTTTACGTCGCTGTGAGCTCTTGGGGGCCTCGACGATCAGAGCTTTTCATGTCACCGTTCGCTCTTGGGAGCATTGGCGTCCAATGCTTCCTACGTCACTGTTAGCTCTTGGGGGGCCTCTTGAGATGCTCTGAGGGGCATCTTGAGGCCTCTTGGGGGCCTCTTGGGGGCGGGCCGTGGCCTTCTCCGGGCGTCCTGGGGCCCTCGTGGACCGTCTTGGGGTGCTTTGGCCGGCTTGCAATGTTACGTAACGTTGCTGTGCGCTCTTGGGGGGCCTCTTGAGAGGCTCTTGGAAGCATCTTGAGAGCCTCTTGGGGGCCTCCTGGGGGTCCAGTGGGCCGTTTTTGGGGCCCTCTTGGGCCGTCCCGTGGCCCTTTGGACCGTCTTGGGGGGCTTCGGCCAGCTTGGGGCGCTCATGGGGCCCTGTTGGGAGACTCCTGTGGCTCTTATGTCTCTTGCCTCTTCCAGGCCTCTTAGGAGTCCTCTTGGGGGCCTCTTGGGGCGTCTCGGGGACCTTTTGGGCCGTGACGAGGCCATGTGGGAGCGCTCTTGGGCCGTCTTCGGGTCCTTCTGTGTCTCTCTGAGGCCGTTTTGGGAGCATCTTTTGGCTGTCTCAGGTGCAGGTGCCAGTTCGGCCGTCTTGAGGCCTCCTGGGCCGAAGAGAATTGCCAACACGACCCCCCGGGGGGGCGTGGTAGAGATTTCGGCCCGCCCCGCCCCCCCCCCGCCCCCCGAACCCTCCCCGTTGGAGTTAGGACCCTGTGCAGATCTTCTTCCGCTGGCGCTCTTTCCGTGATGCTCCTCCAGTGGCTGGGAACTTTTAAGAACATGTTTTCTACATTCGCCTCGCCCCATCCGTTCGCACTCCAGCGCTCTTTTCGGCCTCCAGGCGGCCAGGATGGCTTCCAAGATGGCTTCCAGGATACCCAAGACGACACCAAGATGGCCCAAGGCAGCTCAAGAGGCCTCCAAGGCAGCCAAGAAGGCGTCCAAGATGGCCGAACAAAAACTCCAAGAAGCCCCCCAGGAGAACCAAGGCGGCAAACATTTGTGAACAACAATTTCTTGACAGATTTTGAAATTCTCGTTGGTTTCAGCTTCCGACGGCCCAAGACGGCCCAAGAGGCTTCAAATATAGATCCAAGACACCCATGAGGCCCCCAACGAACGCCCCAAGTTGGCCCAAGAGGACTCCCAAATCGCCCAAGAGCCTCCCCACAGGGACCCCAAGACCGGCCCTAAAGCGCCCAAGAAGGCACCAAGATAGCCCAGAGAGGCCCCCAAGACGGCCTCCGAAGACGTCATACGGCTAGGTCTGCCCAGAAAACCCCAAGAGACCCCCAAGGTGCCTCCGAGAAGGCGAAATCATGTGTGTGTGTGTGTATGTGTGTGTGTGGCTGTTGTGTTGTGTTGTGTTGTGTTGCGTTGTGTTGTGTTGTATTGCGTTGTGTTGCGTTGAGTTGTGTGTTGTTTGTGTTGTGTGTGTTGTGTTGTGTTGTGTTGTGTTGTGTTGTGTTGTGTTGTGTTGTGTTGTGTTGTGTTGTGTGTGTGTGTGTGTCTGTGTGTGTGTGTGTGTGTGTGTCTGGGTGTTGGTGTGTGTAGATGTAAGGTTGTTTATTTGTTTGTTTGTTTGTTTGTTTGTTTGTGTGTGTGTTCTGTGTGCGTGTGTGTGTGTGTGTGTGTGTGTGTGTGTGTGTGTGTGTGTGTGTGTGTGTGTGTGTGTGTGTGTGTGTGTGTGTGTGTGTGTGTGTGTGTGTGTGTGTGTGTGTGTGTGTGTGTGTGTGTGTGTGTGTGTGTGTGTGCGTGCGTGCGTGCGTGCGTGCGTGCGTGCGTGCGTGCGTGCGCGGGTGCGCGCGTGCGTGCGTGGCTTTTGTGCTTTTGTGTATGTGTGTATGTACGTGAGAGAGTGCGGGGTTTTCAATGACATTGAAACTCTCGCCTGTTTGGGTCGCCCAAGATGGCCCAGAGAGGCGTCCAAGACAACCTCCGACGGCGTCAGAGGGGCCAAGAGCCGCCTGAGATGGCCCAAGGAGCCTCTAGGAGGCCCGAAGAGGTCTCCGAGGATACGACATCAATTCTCGTATAATTCCAATGGCTGTGAAGGTCTCGCCTGTTTGGGTTTCCGACCGCCAAGGGCGGCGGCCCGGAGAGGCTCCCGAGGTGGCCTCCGACGGCGCCAAACGGGCCAAAACCCCGCCGAAGCGGCCCAAGAAACCTCAAAGATGTTGGCGCATTCGCCTGCGATCTCTCCATGTCTGTCTTTGGTGCATTGCTCATCTGTTCTGCAGCTGTATTTGGATGCTCTATCCCAGTAAATGGGATCACAGCTTTGCAGAGCGCTTTGCGCAGCAGAAGTCTAGAGGGGCATCGTGATTAACTTTAGGCCCACTTGAGGGGGTGATGATTCTCCCGGCCCCGCGCGAACGAGCGGGCGTCGCTGCGCGAAGGGCGCGGCCGACGCGCGCGGGGGGGGGGGGCGGGGCCCGCGAGAAGCGCGGCCACCCCCTCCAGGCGCGCGCGGGCCTAGCCCCGCCGCTCGGGCGAGGGTTGCCTGGAGGGCGCTGAACAGCGCCAGCAGCAGGCCTCGGCGAAGAGGGAGACGAGGGCGGGGGGTAGAAGTGAAACAGCTGCGACGCCCGCGGGGCGCGTGGAGAAGGGGGAACCCGAAGAGCATTCTCACGACTCCGCGCAAACGAGGCAGGCGTCGTTGCGTGCGGGTCATGGCCGACGCGAGCGGGGGGGGGGGGGCGCGAAGCCAGCCCTCCCCAGGCGCGAGCGGGCCGGGCGCCGCCGCTCAGGCGAGGGTCGTCTGGAGGGCGCTGAACGGAGCCAGCGGCCGTGCCCGAGCTCGGAGTCCTTGCGCAGTGGCGAGGCGTTGGCGGGCGGCCAAGACTTGCGTTGGCTGCGCAGAGGGGCCGAGCGCAAGAGAAGACGCGCGGGGCGGTCGCTGGCGGCAGCGAAGTGCGCGACGCGCTAGCGAGCCGCGGCAGAAGGGGCGGGCAGAACAGACGATGCAGCGGCGTGGAGATGGCGCTCAGCGTTGGAGGCCTGGCGCCGGCGGCCGCGCCAGAAGACGCGAAAAGAGTCTTCCGTGGCCGCGAGGAAGTCTATCGCCCCAGAACCTCGCGAACAGCCAGGCGTGAGGTTCAGCCCGCAGGCCGCATTGGACAGTGGGGCGCCCATGGCCTCGGGGAAATTGTTCCGCCGAGTGCGGGCGCCGCTCTGCCCGAAGGGCGAAAGCGGATCGGTGGGGCCCAGATGCTGGGGCGCCAGTTCCAGGGGCCTCATCGACGACCCATCGGAGCAGCGAGCGTGCTGCGTCGGATAGGTGCGGTGGGACTTCGGCGCCTTTATGGCGAAAAAGGCGTCGCCGATGGCTTCCGCGCGATCGCCGCGCAGCGAGAGGTCGCGACGGCGGGCGACTGGCAGTTCGCCGGGGCGAAGAAACATGGCGAAACCCATCGGCAAGAAGGCTGCCATGCGTGGCCAGTCCCAGAGCAGACCGAGGCCCACCATCGCCCGAAGGAGGGCGCGGGCAGCGGAGGGCGGGGCGCGGGGGGCTCGGCGAGCTTCCTTCCACTGCTAGGTCGCATCCCAGGCTTCGGATAGGCGCCAGTGGGGGGCTTGGATGCCCAGAGTGGCACGCGCTAGGGTGTGATGCGGGAGGCCCGCGTCGTGAAGCCGCGCGCCGAAGATGGTGAGGGACCGGGAGAGCAGAAACCCATTGGCAGGAGCGATGCGCGAGTGCCCCGCGAGCCTGCTCGAAGGCGTCGACAGATTCCGAGTGCCGATCGAGGTCGGGAGAGGTGATGTGAGAGCGGCGCGCAAAAATAATGCGGGAGGCGCGAGGACGGGCAAAACTGGGCCCTGGGCTCGCCGCAGCGGGGGGCTGGCCGCCGACGCGGCGGCGACCGTGACGGCGGGCGCAGCGGCTGCAGACGACGTGCAGAGGCCGCGCGCGCCGCATAACCAGGCGTTTCGTGACGGCAGCGCCGTGCTTTGCCGCCGCGCGACTGTGCTTGACGCGCGCGGCCAGCTCCCGCCTGGAGGCGAACGGGGGTAACCGCGCTTCGCGCCCGTCGAACTCGACCCCCGAGTTGACGGCGACGCCCTCGCGCGCGGTCACGAAGGGCGCGCCTGCGCCGAGGGCGACGCGGCGCGCGGAGGCCTCCGCCTCGGACGGCAGCGCGTCTCCCGCTCCGACGCTCGACCAGTCGAAAGGGTTCCGAAGCCCATCTGGCTACGGGGGGGTCGCGATAGCATGCGACGTCTCGCGACGCTGCGCCGAAGGGGGAAGGCCCGCGGGCGACTCCACCGGGGCCGCGTGCTCGGAAGCGCGCCGCAGTTCCGGGGGCTCACCGCGTGGGCCCCTGTCCATGGCGGGCAACGCAGTCCCGTCCAGACTGGCATGCCACAGGCAATCCAGGGCGGTGGCGGTGGCCGCAGCCCGCCGGCGCAGGACAATGTAGCTCCCCAGCCCGACTCCCCGCATGACCCCCTGAGGAGGGGGGTCGAGGGCCTCTCGCTTCAGGGTGAATTAGCGGAGTCGTTATATGGCGCTCTGAAACGTGTCGTCCCAGTCCGGCAACCGGCGGACGACGGCCGAAGGCTCGCCTGCCACTCCCAGGCGCCATCCCAGCGCTCCTGCTGCGCCCGGCGGTGGCGCCGACTCCGCGGACGGAGTCTCGAGCGGACCGCCGAGCGCGCGAACGGCGTGGGCCGTTTTCACCGGGGAATGCGGAATCGGGGCTGGGCTCGCAGCCGCAGAGCGGCGCTTGGGGTGCGCGCGGGGGCGCGGGCGCGGGGCCGCACCTCGGCGAGGCGTGGCGGGCGGGCCGCCGCCTCTGGCGCCGCGCCTGGGGATCCGCCAGCATCCCCGCCGACGGCGCGCCCTTCTCAATGCGAGGCCGAAGCGGCGTCGCTGGTGAGGCATGCCTGTCGGCACGGGAGGCGTCGCCTCCGACTCAGGAGTTGGCGCGGCGCCCGTAGCGCTCGGGCCGCGCGCGGGCCCCCGCGGACCGGGGCGTCGCTCGGGCGTCCGAGGGGCGGCGGCCGCCCTCTCCGCCCCCTCCCCGCAGTGGCCCCGCGGCCTGCGGCGGGGGCGAGGGGGGTGGCTCGCGCCGGGGGCCTTGGCGAGAGCCGCTTTGGGATCAGAGGCCCGCGCGAAGCTAAATCTATCTCCCTCGCGGTTCGACTCGCGGCAGCCGCCGCCGGGGCCGACGCTGGCGTAGTTGCGCGGCTGTGGGCCCGCTGCCTGGGGGGGTGGGGCACTGGGCGAGCGTCGACTGCGAGTCCTTTTTGGGGGTGCCTGCGCGCGCCGCCTCGTCGGCGAACGACTGCGGCGCCTCGGGGCGGGCCCCCCGGAGGTCGGCGCGAGCCCCCAGGAGGGGGCCAATGCCTGGGGCGCGTTCGTGGCCTGACGTTGGTCCTCCAGCTGGACCTCCGCTCGGGTCAACGGCGCCCCCTCGTCGAGAGCCGCGGCGATTGCCCCTTCCGCCCGCGGGCGGCCCGTGCTGGCCCAAGGCTTCGGCTGCGCGCCTTGGCGGTTTCGCGCGGGCGCCTCCAGCGGCGGCGGGGCCCGTGTTGGGGCGGGGGGGAGGCCCTCGGCCTCTGCGTCGTCCTCGGGGCCGCCCGCCCCGAACTCGTCCGCGGACTGATGCGGGGCGGCCCGTTCGGGGCCTCGGGCGGCCTCGCCCCCCCGCGGCGGGCGCCGCGCCGTGGATGGCTACGTGGCCCTCGCGAATGGCAATGGCCTCCTCCGTGGGCCACGGCCCGCGCGCGCGTCCGCGGGCCGCCCCGGACGGAGCAAGCCCGTCGCTGTCTCCCTCGTCGAGAGGGGTGAGAGGTGAGAGCGTCGAGATCCGTCTCCGAGACCTCTATGTCGACCGCTGGCGCGGAAGCGGTCGCGCTCAGTGGGCGAGGTGCCGCGCCGAGCAAGCGCAAGTTGACCGCCGGAAGGGCCCCGCCATCCCCGTGAATCCTTCCGCTCCCGGCAGACTGGGGCTGTCGGCTGAGCGGAAGGGCCCGGACAGCGCCGGCAGGATGCCCCCGGGCAGAGCGGCCAAGGGGGTCGCGGCGTAACTCGCCTCGCCGTCGTTCAACCGCCAGCGGTCGTGCCTGGTGGCTGACGGCGGAGTGAACGGGCGGGGGTCGGGCCAGACAGTCCCGTCGGGGATTGCAAGCCCCCCCGTTGCCGAAGCAGCGGCTGCCGCTGCTGGCAGCGCGCGCCAAGTGGCCCGCGGGCCACCCCGGAGGGTCAGTCTTGAGGCGGGGCAGCGGGCGGGCCTTGAGAAAAGGCCTGCGCGCGCTCCTCAGCCCGCGCTCCTCGGTCGAAATTCAGGGCGCGCTGCGCGCCGCGCCCGCGCCGCCAGGGGCCCTGGTCACGGCCCGCGCGCGGGGAGGGGGGGGGCGCTAGCCCCCGCCGACGCGCCGCGAAAGACCCGGCGCAGTCGCAGAGGCTGCAGACGGCCGCGGCTCCAAGAAGGGCCACGATCGGAGAGAGCAGCGCAGGAGCGACCCCTCTGCTCAGGGGGGGCCGCGGCGCCCCCGCGGAGGAGGCCCCGAGGTCCGCGAGCGACGGGGGGGGGCAGTCCGCGAGCCACTCGTAGAGCGCGGCTGGTAGGCCTCGGAAGGAAAGCTCGCCCGCCCCCTCGATGGCTGCCCGGGCGAGCGCCCGCGCGAGGCGCTCGCCGAGGGGCGTCTGAGAGGGGGGCTGGGTAGAAAGCGGCTGCGACGCCCGCGAGGTGCAAGAAGAGGGGGGATAGGAAGGACATCCTCCTCCGCCTTGTCTTTCGGCTTGAGTCTTCCGGGTGTCAGCAGGAAAGCGACATGGGCCAGAGCCTCGCCATTGTCCGCCAGGCCCCTCCGCGCCGGCAGCGGCGGCGGAGCGGGGTTCCGGGCCGCGGGCCCCAGCCGCCTCGGCACGCGGCCTGGCGCAGCTAGCGGGCCCATTCGATCCGCGGATCGAGGGGCTGAGCGGATGGCGGGGGCGCGCGGGGGCCCAATCGCCGTCGATGGACTTGCGCGACTGAAAGTCCGCCGAGGAAAGATCTCGACCAGCGTTGCAGAGCTGCTACAAGATAACCAATCGTCGACAAACAGCAGCGCCAGACACGGGGCGCATCAGGAGCGTCGTCGAGGCGCCCACCGCCGACCGAAGCACTGCCAGTCCTGGAGCTGGACAAGACGCCGCCGCCCGCCCCCTCCTTCACCTGGTCGGTGCCTCTTGAGTCCAAGGCCAAGGAGAATTCAAACCCTTTTGAGACTGCTGATCCATGGTCTCGTCGCAGGACGGACAACTAGGCTGACGAGTCTCAGGCCTCGAGCTGGCCAGTTGGAGGCCTGGCGGAACGACGGGCGCGGACCGCCTCGGCGTCGGCGACTGCGGCGAGCACCGACCCCGATCTGCAGCATGATGCCCCTCCACCCATGAGAGGAGCAGGCCAGGCCGACTCCAGCATAGGGAAGCCACCACTGCAGCCCAACCAAGCATGGAATCAGTGATGTGCTGGAGACGATTGGTTGGCAATGCGGATGGCGCGGCTGGCATCGGCGGCAGAGAATCAGACCAGTATGTCCGTGATTGTCAACGTAATTCCAGCCTTTCAAATGTCCAGAACATCGATCGGCTGCTGGAACAACTACATTGGTTTCTGAAGGCTAAGCCGCAATGCGTTCCCGACCAGGACCTCGCCGTGGCCGAAGTCGTCTATCACCTGAATCAGATGGCTGGACAACGAAATGATCAATTTTCCGTGCAGGCGGGGCCGCCCGAGACATCGAACGAAGAAATGACAAGGACCTGTGCGTCTTCGCCAGTGGACGTCGACGCAGTTTTCAGCGAGCACGAGGCATCGGCGTGGAATTACCACCCAAACTTCAAAGAGTGCTGTTGTTGCAGGGTGCCCGACTGACGGCTCGGGGCAAGCAGAACGTACGCAATCTCACCAGAGGCTCCCTACTTGGACCCGACATCATGCGGGCGTTGCCGAGACTAGATACGGGCGGACTCGCTTGGGCGGGCGACAGCAAGGGCCGCGCCGACCTACTCGAGACCAGCGAGCACGATCACGACAAGGGGTCCTCCCTCGACGCGCCCGACCCAGCATGCCAAGCTTGGTCCTGGTGGGTCGATGAGCTCGAGTCGGACGACGAGATCATAATTCTGGTGGAGCTCAACGGCCGCGACCTGTTTGTGGGCGAGGCGAAAGACGTGCTTACTCGATGGGCAAGGGACGGCAGAAGACGTGGAAGGAGAGCAAGCATCCAAATGACGTCGCCCAGAAAGATCGAAGCTTTTGGAAGCGTTGGTGCAGGGCCCCCCAGCTCAACTGAAGCTGGATACAACATTCGAAAACTGCGGTAAGACTGGACACTGGCACGCCGGATGCAAGAACCCAGCTAGACCAAAGGAATTCAAACCTCGGGATCGACCTCACAAGGTTGGCTTTGGCTCTGGAGGCATCAGCTCCTCCTGCGATGACAATGGCTTCTCCTAGCAGTGGGCCTCAACCAGGCTGACCTTCGTCGAGCTGGAGGACGGCAGGTTCATCGTTGACAGCTGGACCTCTCGTGCCATCGTTGGGGAGGCAGCCATCTTGTGACTCGCTGAGGACCTGCAGAGCCGCGGCCTTAGCCTAGCTTGGATTGATAGGGTTGTCAACGCTCCGTGAGGCATCGGAGGTCAGGTCGCCCTCTAGGGCGTGGCGCTGGCACCGTTGGCCATTGGTGGCAAGCTAAGAGTTACCGAGTTCAGCCGAGGAGGATGTCAGCCCTGCTGCCAGGCAGGTCCCTTGACATGTTCGGGGTCGTCCTCGACTGTTTTGGCGAGCAGATCAGGTTTCAGAAGCTCGGTCGCGCGGTGCCCGTGGATAAGTTCGGCCGCTGCCATCGGGCAATGTGGAAGAAGCGCTGGCAAGGTCTTGAAAACGAACCATTTGGCGCAACAGTGTGGGGGCTTTGAGATGCCCGGGGGATTATTCCGCCCTCGTTCTCCCTCGTTTTAATTCTCTACGTCTCCTTCACCTTTCAGCTTTGCACTTTCACTGTCTCTGAGATGCCCTCACGGTCACTGTGGGCAGCTACTCCAGCGAGGTCCGGGTGGGGGCCGACAGGCTAGCCGAGGAGCGGCGGTGGTTCGACGCGAGGAACTGCGGGGAACGATTCTCGATGGGTGCGAAGCTGCTCGCGGAGACGAACGCCAAGGTCTGGACCTGGTGCGGCCAGTCTCCCTGGAGGTCTCGGGCAACGGGAACCATGCGCGACGTCGGAGTTCTCTCAGGGCTGCGCGATGAGGTTGGCATGCTGACCGAAGTGTCACGCCGTCAAAGGCAATCGGAGGCTCTCGAGCCAGGAGAGGTTCATATTCGAAGTCAGCTGGGCGCCCCTGTGAGGCGCGCAGCCCCCCGGAAACCTCGCCCTTCTTCTGGAACGTTCAGTTCGGCATCCAGTTCGGCCCCCATGGGCGAGGAGATGTGGAGCAATCGCCCGTGGTCGGCCCTGCCATCCTGGGCAATGGAGATGGCGCAGGAGGCCGTGCAGTCCATGACTGCGAGTATGTCGGCGAGCATGGCGGCAGCTATCCAGTCGCCCCTCCAGGCGCGCAGCAACGACCTGTCCATCGCGATGCATCTTCTGGTTGGCCAGATGCAGTTCGCGAGCTGGAGGCTGGGCGAGCTGGCCGACAGGGCCGCGAGGGGCGCGGAGATGACTTCGGTCGCGGAGCTAGCAGCGGCGACGGCCGTGCCGACCTCGTCGGTTCTTCGGCCCACGATGCAGCGAGCCCTCGCTAGGCCAGATTCGAGCTGGTCGGAGATGGCCCGGCCTCGGACGCGCCATCTTGGGAGTGGCCAGTCCGGCAATGACCGCGCGACTCCGGCGTGTCGGCCGGCATCCAGGCTCCTGCAGGCAACGGCTTCCCGAGCCCGCCAGCCGCCGCATGCGCTGGGGCGGCGTCCTTCGCGCCGGCAGAGTCGGCTTCTACTGCGCAACTCAGCCTGTGAAGGAGGGCGACAGTATGAAAATCGTGCGCGTGGAGAACCTGCGCCTTTCCTCTCCGTCATCGTCTTCGCAGCCGTCGACGCCCAAGACAACCGCCGCCGCGTCATCGCCACGTGCGTCGTCCGTGACTTCATCACCCTTGACATTCTCAACAGAATCATCTTCGGGGCGGATGTCAGTGACATGACACATGATAATGACAGGACAGATGGCCATGACAAGTCGGGCGTTTGATACCTCTGGGGCGTCTGACTGGGGGACTTGGGAGAACTCTTGGTGCGTGCCCGTGGACTGCTGCCTCTCCGTAGTCCCTCTCGAGGATCCCGCCCCGGCCTGCGTGGAGGGCCTAAATGGAAAGCCTGTCGCTCAGAAGTCTTCTGGAACATCTCCAGAAAGAGATCCGCAAGTCGGGGCGCGACCAGTACCGCATCAGGACCTCCTGGGGCATCGTGGAGCTGTTCTCTCCTCCTCCCCGTGTCGGACCGCTGGTCGCCGGGCCTAGCGAGGCGCCGATGGGGGGCAGCCTAGACCTCGAAACGGGCTGAGACTTCCAGATCCTAAGTGATTGTCGTCTGGCTGGAGCTCTTCTGGACTCCCGAAGCCGTGGCTCGCGTTTATCAGCCCGCCCCCCGCCGAGTTTAACACTACTTCGGGATAGAACGAGGGCCGCGGGGATCCCAGGACACTGGGCATTAAGCGAGCTGAGGCGATCGTCTGATGAGGTTTCGTCCTCGAGGTTGCGGCCGAGCAGATCTCCGAGGGCTGGCGCTTCGCCGTCGAACAACTGTCAGATGTGCACTCCTGGCGCCTCTTCAGCACCGAGTGGTTGTGCTGGCAAGAAGGGTTTCGAGAGGTGACATTCGACGTGTGCCGGTTCGCTCGGTCTGCGAGTCAGGGGTGGTGAGCTCTCGAAGAAAACGACCGCGACCATTTCCAAAGGGCCTGTCCTGCTCCAGGCGGTCAATGAAGAGGTGCAGCCAGGGCCACGAGCGCGTCGCTGTGATCGGGAATTGGTTCGCTTCTCGCGCGGCAATCCACCCCGTCAAAGTTTGCCGTGCCGCGGCGAGTGCGGTGTTGATATCCCCGAGGGTCGAGAGCGAGAGTTGCCTTGTCGAGTCAGCCGAGAGCTCGGGGAGAAGCATCTCGTGTGCCAGGCTTGCTCCAGCGTCGCTTGGGCATTCGCCAGGCGCAGGACATCTGTGCCGCGCTCGCACTTTTTCAAATCATCGGCATAGACCTGTTCTACGTTGCCGACCGTCAACAGGTCTACACGTTCTCTAACGCCCTTTGGCTAGGTGCCATGCTGTAGTGGGCTGGTCTGGTGGGCCCCAGGCGCCTGCCGCAGCTTCGTGGGTCTGGGGGCTCTTTGCTCGGGCTGACCTCGTCACTATGGGCTCCCTGAGGTGATGATTTCAAATGGCGGGGCTGAATTTGAAGCTGAGTTCGACTGCTTCGCGGAGCAGGCTGGATCCTATCGCCGTGTCACCGATGCCGAGAGCTCTTGGCAAAACGGCAAGATGGAACGGGCATGCCAATGGTTGCAGGAATGCCTCCGACGCTTTGCCGAGGAGGGGCAACGCAGAGAATCTTCAACGGGCAGCCTGTGAATTGACGGTCTGGCGCAATCGGGCCCTCAACGGGTCTTTGGTCAGGGCCCTCGACTGCCCCGCGAGCTATTGTCCGGAGACCCTCTCGATCACATTGGCTTGCATGATCTCTCTGAGGCGCATGGGGATATAGATAGCGCTGCTGCCGCGTTTCGCCATCAACGTGCGGTATGCACCTGTGCCCGAGAGCTTTCTATGGAGGGCGATGCCAGGAGTAAGCTGGGTCTCGCTCTTCGGCCAGAGTGACGTAGCCATTGCCCCTGCCGGCCTGGTGACTGGGTCTATGTCTGGCGCAAGGCGCCTTCCTCTGGCGAGCAGCCCTTCGGCCACCGGCGGGGCAGTTGGGCGGGTGCAGACTATGTCGTCGATCGCCAATGGGCAACCGTCTGGGTCCGGATGAGGGGCAAGCTCTAGACGTGCAGTCGTGAAGAGGCCCGACCAGCTACTCAATCTGAATCCATAGGTACCCAGCTCATCCAATCCTCTGCCCTCCGAGCGGTTCTCTCCAGGGTCTTCGACAATGACATTGTGGGAAGTGCAATAGTTGTAGCTCAAGAGGGGCGCCCTCCTCCTGGAGCTCTGGGCGCGCCCCTTTCAGATTCCCAAGGAAGTCTTCAATCGGGCCCCGAGGTGACAACACTCACGAGGCCACCAATCGGGAACTCATGCCTGGTCCTCCGCAGCCCATGGCAGAAGACATCTTCAGAGAAGTTCAGAAGACCGCTGAATCCGCGTGAAACGCCCCCCCCCCAGGACCTCGTCCTCTTTCTCCTCCGTCGCACCTTCAAATTCAGCAAGGGTCTTCTCCGACGGAGCCTGCCGCATCCGCGGCCGCAGTCCGACTTTCGGGTGGCCGTCGCTTGGCGTGGGCTCTTTTTATTTGGGGGGGAGAAGGGAGCGGGCCGCTGCGGGCGAAGAAGGCGGCAAGGCAAATGAGACCACAGGGCGAGATTCACGGCCGCGCCGCGACGCTCTGGACAGCCTGCGCTTGCCAAATGCGCGAAAACAAGCCGCTCAAAATGCCCCCTCTGGGCCCGCCATTGGGCGACAAGGGGGGCGCGACCGCGGGGGGGGGGGGGGGCGAAAGAAAGAACGGAACACAGCAGCGGAGGAGGGAGGGAGAAATGAGGGAACCTGGACAGACGCGTCGCGTGCGCAGCCCTGATGGTCAACCGACCGTGTATATAGAGCGCGCAATTGAAACCAGGAACGTATCCGAGATCCGGGCAACGAAAGACCACCAAGGCTCCGGACATGGACAGGGGGGGTGGGGGGGTGGGGGGGCACCGAGGAAGGAAGGGGAAAAAGGAAGGTGGGAGGAAGAGAGGAGAGGGCAGCGTAGTAGCTGGAAGCGGCTTTCGCAGCTCGCCGACGCGCGTCGGCCCTGACGCGCCCAAGCAGAAGCCGAATAGCCGGCGACGCGATTCAAAATATTGCGCACAACCGAGTCGGAGTCATCCACGCAAACCCCCCAGCCCGAGCGGGGACTTTGCTGACAAGAGGAGGAACAGGAGGAGGGGGGTGAAGAAAAGGATGAGGAGGGCGACGGCGAGAGGAGAAGAGAAACGCCAACTACAATCGATAGATCAGCCAACAAAAAAGATGGCGCCGCAAGCGCCAACCTACAGTGTGCGAGCACGCGCGTTGACCCGATACCAGGAAAACGGAACCTAACGCCGCCCGCCTTCGAGGCCCGCGGACCACGCGGGGGAGCGAGACGCCAGGGAGACGGCGAAGGGGGGCGAGGGCGAGGGGGGGAGACGGCGACTCACTCGGGGCGCGGGCGCTTGAACGCCGCCAGGAGCAACGGCGATGCCTTCGCGTGGCCCCGCGATCCTTCGCGCAAGTTGCTTCGGAAGAGGTTTGCTCGCGGGCCGGAAGCGCCAGCGCAGCGCGGGGCGTTGTGCGTGCGATGCAAAACATAAGCGCTCAGCGCTCTCGAAGCCTTGGCGTGCCCGCTTCCCTCTGTGGCGCTCTCCTCGACCAGGAGCAAGAGCTCTTCCAATTCGCGGCCCGCTGCGGGTCTCGCCAAGCTCAGGGGGCGCGCGCGCAGCGAGTGGCAGCGTGCGCACCTCCCGGAGTGCGTCGCGGACTCCTCGAGCCTCTGGCAGCCGAGCAAGCAGCCGAGAAAGCGGCGGGCAGTCACCCACCCGTAAAGATGGCCCGAATGGCTGCGGCGAAGACGCGTGGGGGCATCAGGTTCGCGGTGGCCAGCAAGGAACGCTGATGCCTGAGGCATCGATGTCCAGGTAGCGCGGGGATTTGCCATTTGCTCGGAGAGCGCCGCGTGACCGTCAGCGACGCCGCGACGAAAAGAAGCCGCGTGGCAGTCGAGACTCGGGCCTGCCGACCGTCGGGGTGGCCCTCCTCGGAGGGCGCGTCCCTGAGCTTCGCCGTCTTGGCCCGCGTGCCAGCGAACTTCCGAGGGGCGGCGTCGAGAGAAGGAAAATATGCGAATCCCAAGATGCCCGGGGCCCCGGCCGCTGTGCGTTGTCCGGATCGGCGGGCGCCGTGCGAAGCATTGCCGCGCGGGCTGGAATGCGAAAGCCTCCGCTGCAGCGCGCCTCGTAAATGGCAGCGCGAACCCTCGCCGCGTGGGCGTTGGCCTGCGCGTCGGGGAGGTTCCGCGGCAAGCCGCAAGTCTTCGACGCCTTGAAAATGTCAGTGTGAAACGGGTCCGCGGGACCAGGGAATAGCTCCAGAACGACTCGTTTCTCCATCTTCGGGAACGGCCCCAGGAGGGGGCCCAGCTGTGCGGCGGAGGTGGTGGCGAGACGATGAAGACGCGATGCGCTTCGATAGTGCGCGTCATGCCAGCGCCAATCTTGCCCCGGAATGCAGCCCTGTCCTCCATCTTCCTCGAACACCCTTCCCAATGTATTTTCAACCTCGCCCGGTGCCGACGCATGGGCCGAGGTGCTGGGCGGTGTCGGCAATCTCCATGGCGCCCCGTGGCGGCGCCAGTTCCTGCAGCTGCTCTCGCATTTGTTGGTGTGACAGCCCTCCGATGGGGGCGATGGCCGTTTTTCTCGCGTTCAGCTCCAACCTGGAGATCTCCGTATAAGCGATGAAGATCGCGAGGGCGCCGAGGTGGTCGAGAAGTGCGGGGTCCACGTGCGCGGCGTCGTCGGCGTAGGCGCGGGTGGTGCCAGAGGGGAGGTCGCGCGCCGGTTAGCTCGGTAATGAATCGGATACCGCGGCGAATAAGCATTGGCGGGGGGGTGGGGGGGTGGGGGCGTCCTGGGCGAGTGCCCTGGTCGATGCCGAAGCCGCGTTAATGGGCTCTATCAATGGCCGCGTCGCAGTAGTTGTCGTTGCGCAGCGCCTCGATGAAGTCGAATAGCCAATGGCCACCCCAGCGACCTTGTAACAGCCGTGAGGAACGGCCCCTTCGCAGGAGGGAACGCGGCCGCGAAGTCGAAGAATATTGCGCCGCCCGAATCCAAGGCGCGCGGCGTGGGCGGAGGCCTCCTCAATGTCAATGAGGTGCGACAGCATGGGGCGGCCGCCGCAGAAACCGCGGTGGATGCTGGAGACTCTGGTGCCGAGCTTGGGTTCGACAGGGGCCCTAGCTGCGCTCGCCAACGACCTGTCGTCCGTGCTTGTGACGCTCCGCGGTCTCGCGATTGTTGGTTCGTAGTATCCTTCCCCTGCGGGTGCGATCCCCGAAGGTTTCGTGTGGGGGGGGGGGCGTGCTGCGAACCGGCCAGCGCGAGGCCCCTGAACGCCGCGAGTGCGGACGACAGGTTGTTGGCGAGCGCATGCGGTCGCTTGGCGTGGGCTCCTGGGCCAGTGTCTCGTCTTATGGGAAAAAGCACGATGCGCACGCGCCAATTCTGGCCAGGTCCATCCTGGGCCCAGGATCGGCGCATGCGCCCTCCTGCCTTGGCCGGGAAGGCGTAGTCGCCGACCCTAGGGCTCAGGATGGCCCTGGCCAGAATCGGTGTATGTGCAAAGTTCTCTTCCCTCTATCGTCTGGCATATCTGCCCCGGGGGAGAGCGCGAGTCCGGCGCGGCCCGCGGCTCCGGCAAGCCCCCCCTCCTGGAAGCGAGCGTGGGCGCCGACTTGTCTCGGCCCGGCTGCCGAGCCGGCGCCCCTAGGCATTTCCGAGGCCTCCCCCGGGGGGGGGTCGGGGGCCCCTCCGGCGCTATCGGGCGCGGGCGGCCTCGGCTAAGAGGTGAAGCGACTCAGAGTCGGCGGAGGGTCGCGGGCGCCTGGCTCGGCCAGCCGCCCCGAGGGTGAGCGCTCGGACCTGGGGCCGGTGATTCGACCGGGGGATCCGTGATCTAGTTCAGGGGCCCGCTGACGTCCGAGCAGCTTCAGAGGGCCGCGGTGCATGCGAACTCCGACTGAGCTGCTGCCTCTCGCCCTGGGCCGCGTTCGCCGGCAGATTGCAGACGGGGATCGTTGGGCTCCAGACGCCTTCGTCCGATGCGAGCGCGAGGTGCGCGCTGATGAGGATATTCTGAACGCCTACACTGACGCCTTCGACGCCTGGCGGATTCCAGAAGCCCCGGGCCAAGAAACATCGCCATCTCTTGGGAGATCGACGTTTGCCGCCGCCGGCTTCCGCCGGCCTTCGGCCAACTTCCGCCGGCGAAGTCGTTTTCGTTCTGCTCGTCCCGCGCGGCACCTGCAGCCGGAACCTCCCGGCCCGGAGGGGCGGCGGGGTGCGTCTGGGCAGCCCAACTCCGCAGGGGCGCGAGCAGTTCCGAGCCGTGGGCGGGGTGGAATGAGAGATTCTCGAACGACCTGAGGTGCTCCGAATGCTCGGCCCAATGGGGCCCCCACGTGCGATGAGGACCAAGCCCGATCGAATTTCTACTTTCCAGATGGTCGGGCGATAGGGGCGCCAGGATGTCACCTCCAGCGCCGAGAAGGCGAAGGGCCGCTGGTGCGTGCGCGGGTTTCGCGATCCAGATATTCAGAAACTGAGCACTTCTTTTCTGGCTCCTCAGTGCCAGCCGGTGTTGGTCCTCGCTCTGGTGCTGCTGTCTTGCGATGTATGGAACAGGCCGTAATGGTTTGTAAACGTGCGTTCAGTCAGTCCCGACCCCTGAAACGATCTGGTGGCCCCATCTACGCGACGTCCTGCGAGGGGCTCGCATGGGTGCGCGTTCCCGAAGGCAGCCTGGTAGAACTCTGGGTGGCGGTCTACGACCTGGGCGACAAACCTTGGGGGTGGCGCGCGGCGTCGGCCCCCTTCCTCTCCAATCTGGGGTTTCGAAAACTTCTACCCGAGCCCTGCTGCTGGACCAAGCGAGTTGGCGATCAGCTGGTGGCCGAGGCATTGATCGAGGTGGGCGATCTCCAGCTGGGCTCCATCTCCAGCCGCGCCAAGTGGCTGCGTGACAGCTTGCAGGAGCGCTTCACCTTTGGAAGATGGCGCGGTGATGAAGCAGACTTCGCAGTCAGGCGCGTGCGCAGGGATCGCCGCAGGGTTTGGACCGACCCAGAGAACCACATTCTGGAAAAGCTCAAGATGGTTCCACTTGTCACTCGATGGAGACCGACGGTCGCACTGGCAAGACCCACTCGCGCCCTACGAGTTCGCCCTTGGCCGATCTGGGGCCTATCGACTAAACTGGGTTTCAAAGAAGTCTCGGCCCGAGGTGTCGGGAAGTGCGTCCGTTCCGTCGACCTGTCTCAACTATGCCACCATCGAAAACATACTTGTGCACCACAAGAAGGCCCTTCAGCTGTTACGCGACACGGCAGATAAGTACCTCACCATCTGGAAGCACGATCTTTCCCAAGTGGTCGCCATGACAGCCAGTGTTGCGGCTTGTATCGGCACAGAAGGACCCGTTGAGTGCATGGCTCGCGGGCGCTGCCGATCCTCAGTTTGCGACGGGGCTACCCACTCGTGTTTTAGTCCTCTCCTGGGTATCCTCCAGGATGAAGCGCGCTGCCAACCCATCTCTCGCAGGAGAAGCACATTTCTTGTGTTAGACTGTTGCTGAAGCGGAATGGATTCAGCTACTCATGCGCAACGCCCGTTTTGGAGAGGAGCCTTCATCCGACTGGCTCAAGGACGTGGGGCCCTTCGTTTCGGTGCTGAAATTCTTGCGAGCTGTAGAATTTTCTACCATGCGTGAACGCACTTGAAGCAAAATCCGTTTTCGAGACTCTGTTCAAGAACTGCGCCGGTCGCAAGCAGGACCGCAGCACTTCTGGGGATCTCGCTACACTGCGCGAGTCTTCTCCCGCCAGAAATATTGTGCTAAGTGAGTGCCTCATCAGTAAAAACCCTACGGGCATCATGGCTGGAGCAGATGTCGCGAGCGCTCGCTCGCTTTCTCGGGACTGGGCAGATGGCGCTCAATGGAGCAGGCGCAGAACGCAGTGCCCTAGCAGGCGAGTGGGTCAAGCAACACCAGAGCAAGGAGGCTAGCCGGCGTTACCTCGCTTTGTACTAGGGACATCCGTCTGCACTCTGTCCGAAAATCAGGTCGACAATGACTCTGGGGAGCTGTTGGCCCATTCGTCTGCGATCTCTCCCTGTCTGTCTTTTGTGCAATGCTCGTGTGTTATGCAACTATGTCTGGATGTTCCATCCCGCCAAGTGGGATCACAGATGTGCATAGCGTTGTGCACAGCACAAGTCTAGAGGACCATGATGGTTAGTTTTGGGCCCACTCGAGGGTATGATGATCCTCTTCCGTTTGGCTTCTGGCTCAAGTCTTCAGGGTGCTTGCGGGCAAACAATATAGTGCAGAGCTTCGCGATTGTCCGCCCGATCCCTCCGTGCCAACACACGAGGCCCCAAGAGGCCTCCGAGAAGGCTAAAACATGTATGCTTCCAAGGTGATTTGCTGATTCTGAAGTTGGCGCCTGTTTGAGTTTCCGACCGCCCAAGACGGCCCAAGAGCCTACAATATAGCGTCAAGAGGGCCCATGAAACCCCCAACCAGGGCGCCAACTCGGCCTCAGATGAATCATAAGTGCCCAAGGGCATCCTAAGCCCTCCTCCACCTCTTCCTCCTCATCCTCTTCATCCTCCTCTTCCTCCTCTTCCTCCTCCTTTTCCTCCTCTTCGTCCTCCTCCTTCTCATTCTCCTTCTCTTTTTCCTCGTCCTCCTTCTTCTCACCCGCCCCTCCTTCCTATCGTTCGGACGGAGATGAGCTCGAGTTTCCGACTCGCTTCAGATCAGACCGCTCGCTGAACTGCAGCGGGGCGTGAACTCGACCTCCCTTCGAACAAGCGGACGGAGGCGAGGTCGATTCACTACCCGTCTTAGTTTTGCCCGCTCGTCAGCATGATACTGTTCCTACACTCGGTCTCCTTACTGCTGGGCTGTTGCACAGGCACGGTGGCTAGGTTTGCCACAGGCAGTTGGATGAAATGTCTCAAGGTGCAGCCTGTCATTAGTTCTAAGACCAGCGCCACCTGCTGCTCGCTGATGCAGGCCCCGAAGAAAAACACGATATTTGGATGCCTCAGCTTTCGCAATATTCGCAGCTCATTGCATAACTGCGTTACCTGGCTTGTGCTGGTTACCCCATGGACTTGCACTTTAGGCACCTTGATCGCCACGGGGTGCCCCTGGCAAAGACCGGAGTAGACCGTACCATAACTACCCTCGCCAATGGAATGCTGCATGTCGAAGCTCAACTCTTTCTCCGAGATTAACCACTGCTCTCTCTGGCCAGCTGGCACCAATTCCAAAACACTGCTGCTTGTCAACATGAAGGCTCGCCCGGTCTCCGTTGTGGACGGCCGCGAATCAACCTCGGATGGGCCCTTCGGCTTGCTGGTATACGAGACGTGCTGCGAGAGCTCGAACTCGGACTGGAACCGCAGGCTCTTCTCTCGGATCAATCCTAAGAACTGGGTGCGCTCCTGGTACTCTGTGCTGCGCTTTCCGTAAGCGGCCATGCCGATCAAGAACGTCAGAAAAATCAGCGTGAGCAGCGCGGAATCAATCTCTGGCCCGCCCAAGGCCCAGGTGGGAATTACGTAACACAGAAGGGCAGCAATCTCCACGATGACAAGAAGGTGATATCGGACTGGCAGAGCCAAGTGAGAACTAGACACGGCAATCCGCCGACCCTGTCTGGGCGTGGCAGACGCTGTTCTGTTAGACTCGACGTCGTCGTCGCAGTCGTCGTCGTCGTCGTCGTCGTCGTCGTCGTCGTCGTCGTCGTCGTCGTCGTAGCCGTCGTCGTCCTTGTCGTCGTCCTTGTCGTCGTCGTCGCTGTCGCCGTCGCGTTTGACCCCCCTTTCGCTAGGTCCGTCTCCACTCCCCCCTTTCAGTGGGCCCTCCTCCTCATGCGAGCCAGCCAAAGCGAAACCAAAGCGAAATTGAGCAACGTCGTAGTTGAGTCGAAAGGAAGCCCTTTCCCTCTGATCCCTTCCCCCGGGTGGGTGGGGGGGTGGTCCCGGGTCAGAATGCCATACTCCTCTGGGGGGGCCTGGGCCCCCCAAAAAACCCAAGACAGCCCCAGAGGCCCCCAAGCCGGTCCAAGAGGGCACCGAATCGCCGAACAATCGGTCCAAGACGCCACCGATGGCCTCCTGCTAGCCCAAGCGGCTGCCAAGACGCTCGCAGATGCCTCCAAGAGCACACAAAGAGGGCCAAGAGGGCCCCAACTTGCAACATTCAAACAATTTCTCCAGGTTGTTGAAAGATTCTGGCGTTCTCGCCTTTTCGGGCTCCCAAGAGGTCCCCAAGACGGCACCAAAACGACCTAGAAGGGCCCCAAGACAGCCCTAGAGGCCTCCCAAACGGCCCAAGAGGCACCCCAAACAGCTCCAAGAGGGAGCCCTCGGCCCTGAGAAGCTCCCAGGAAGCCCCAAGAGGCCCCCTAGAAGCCACCACTAGGCCCCAAGAGGCTCCAAGAGGCCCCCCAGAAGCCCGAAGGGACCCCTAAGAGGCTCCCAACAGGCCCCCAAGATGCTCCCACACCCCTCGGAAGCCTACGAGCGCTCTCCGAAGAGGCCCCACGAAACATCCCTGAAGACTCTGCCCCACGTCGGCATCGTCGTCGCCGCCGACGCCGCCGTCTTGGTCGTCGTCCCCCTTCAGGATTGGCGGCGCCGGCCGTAAGGCCTTCCGAATATCGATGACAAGCACCATCCTGGTGTCTGTGAATGGCCCAAAAGATGTTCCGAGTGCTGCGTGGTTGATTCCAAGTGCACTTGCCGCGTACCACGGCAACGCAAAGGTGTGGGCTACTAGAATTAGCACGGCAGACACAACCACCACGACCTCTAATGCTAAATGGCTTTGTACAAAGACCCGCTCCATGACGGAAGTCAGGGCAATCAGGGCAACAGAACAAACAACCACGCTGGCAACCATGCTGCTGATAAGCAACACTACCTGCCTTTTTTCATCAGTGTCGAACACGTCACGGTCCCAACCCCGGCCGTGCACCTGGGGAGACCAACAAATACCGATACCGCTACTCTCCGAACGTCTCCCGGGGTGCGTTCTGACCAGAATCTCGAGGCGAATCCAGCGGTGGCGACGAGGACCTCCTAGGAGGGCGAAAAAAAGGGAAACGGGGGAAGGGTACGGGTACGGGTACCCTTTCCTACTCTGAGTACCAATGCGGCAGAGGCCACCAAGGCCACCAGCGCCAGCAGTCTGCGAAAGTGAAGCCTCAAGCTGGGCGCGCGGTACTTTAAGAAGCCTCGCTCGACGCCTCCGTCTCGAAACCTCAGCGTGAGCCTGTTGATGGTGACGGGCAGCTCGGGGTCGTCGCCGCTGGGAGGAAGATCGCCTTCGCCCCCCACTGCCGACAGAGGCCACATCCGAGTGATGGCCACAACTCCAGCTGCAAACCACAGCTGCTGTGTCCATTGTGATCCGCAGCGGTTTGAGCTCGAGTTGCTTGAGCCAAAACGAAGGCGGAGCAGATTTCAATGTTTTTGGGGTTCCCTGCGTTGTCCAAGGTATCCTGGCGTGCTCCATCGGTTGTCCCAGACTTTGTTTTTGCGCCCCCATGTCTGGGTTTTTCTTACGTTCCTCTTTGGATGTCTTACTTTCTCTTACGTCTTTGAGATGCCATCACCAAACTGTTCATCTAGCTTATCATCGGTTGTCTCTGGAATTATTAAACTTGCCTCTGGGTTTCATGATTCCACGCGGTTCCGATGGAATTGTGGTTTCCTCAATTTTCATTGAATTCACTTTATGTGTTCCTCACTTTCCGTACGGACATCGTGTGTTTTCCCGGTGTTCGAACTTGTGAACAAACCATGGTGGTTCCAGCGGCTTCAGACTCAACGGCTCCCAAACTATGAGATGCATGTGGATACTTAACAAGCAATTAACACAAGCTAGCTCGCGCATCATCGCCGAAACCACAAGACAACCCTGAATTTTCAGCCGCTCCGTCCTGCGGGACGGTGTGGGCCACACGCGTGCAACACAGCACCTCTTGCGCGACCGTCAAGCCTGTCAAACAGTCACGTGCGGGTCAGGCGGCTCCGCGCGCCCACATCGAACTCATTCCCAAGCTGATAATGTTCGGGCAATTTCAAGGCGCTGATGTCCAACAACGTACGGACACCAATGGCATCCCATTGGAAATACATGCTTTATCGTCGTCGTCAGCATCATTGCCACCGTCGTCATCATCATCATCACAACCGCCGTCATCATCGTGATCGTCGGTTCTGCGCACGCACTTCCTCATCATCCTCACCAACACCATCGGCATCATCATCGCCAACGTCATTGTTGTCACTGTCATTGTCATCAATCTCAGCTTCATCACCATTATCATCGTCATCGTCCCCACCGTCGTCATGAACGTCATCATCGCCGTCGTCTTCATTGTTGTAGCCGCCCACTCGGGTCTTGCCAATCAGTTGCGGGTGGGTGGGCGGGATGTTTGCGGGATCGTTGGATGTGGTCACGCGCGGAGGTGGTCCAAATTGACTGCACACGATAACAAGCATCGAATAGCTTGCACCGCATGGCTTGCATCACGCAGCTTGCGAAATCCCACCAGCCCTTTGGGCGTGAGTGGTTTAGGGAGCTCTCTCTGTTCTCAACCCCCCTTCTTCCCCTTCGGGGAGGGGTTTACCCCTCCCCCTACCCCCTCCCCCTGGGCCTGGAGAGGGGGTTTCGCGGGTCGTCAGAGGGGTCAATGTCGACTCCTGGGAGGGCTAAAACAACTACGACCCTCACGAGGATTCTGGCCCCGACGGGGGGGCGGAGATAGGCCCCTCTGCTCTTCTTTGAAGCCACAATCATTGATTTTACTACGATTTTGGCCCCATTTTGGCCTCCTGAGGGGGCCGCGCTCATCTTCCTTCATAGCAAAATCATTGATTTTACGAAGGTTTTGGGCTCATTTTGTCCTTCTCAGGGGGCAGCCCTCATTTGCGCTTCTGAGGAGGTCGCAAGAGGCCCCAAGATGGCCCCAAGAGGCCCCCAGGAGGCTCCCAAGAGGCCTCCAAGAGGCCCCCCAGAGGCCCCCAAGCGGCCCCAAGAGGCCCCCAAGAGGCCCCCAAGAGGCCCCCAAGAGGCCCCAAGAGGCCCCAAGAGGCCCCCAAGAGGCCCCCAAGAGGCCCCAAGAGGCTCCAAGAGGCCCCCAAGAGCCCCACGAGGAGCCCGAACGACTCACACCAGGACGAGGGGCCCGAACGACTCACACCACGAAGAGCCCGAACGACTCACACCACAAGGAGGGGCCCGAACGACTCACACCAGGACGTGGCGCCCGAACGACTCACACCACGAGGAGCCCGAACGACTCACACCAGGAAGAGGGGCCCGAAGGACTCACACAAGGACGATGGGGCCGAACGACTCCCCCCACGACGGGCCCCAACGACTCCCACCAGTCGACGTCGTCGTCGTCGTCGTCGTGTCGTCGTCGTCGTCGCCGCCGCCTTCGTCGTCGTCGTCGTCGACGTCGTCGTCGTCGTCGTCGTCGTCGTCGTCGTCGTCGTCGTCGCGGTCGATATCGTCGTCGTCGTCGGGTGCGTCGTCGTTGTTAGAATCATCGCTGTGGTCGTCGTCTCCGCTAAATCCATCTTGCCTCCCACCGCTTTCTCTCCCTCCTCCTCCGCCTCGTCCTTCTCCCGCTCCCACCACAAGGAGGATGTACAAGGAGGCGGGAGGAAGGAGGAACAGGGGAGATATGCGGGGGCAGGCGGAAACACGCCTGAAAAACACGACTGTCGGCATGCTTCGCAAGAGTTGCTGTTTTGAGATGGGCTGGTGGGGATACGCGAAGCGTGAAGAATTCAGAGCTCATCCCATCTGCTTTTTTATACAAATGATTTGGGATATACCCCCCGAGGCCAGACTTAATGCCCCCCACCCCTGGGGCATTGTTTTTTTCAAATTTATTCTGCCCGATCGCTTCCCTCTCCCCCCGGCATCTCGGAACACAAAACTATGCGGTGCACACGCGTGAACCTAAGAAGTTGCTTCTTGCTTTATAACAAGCCCTCGCGAAATATACGCTGCGGGGCACATGAGCGCGCCGCCGCGCGCACGTCAAAATCCTTCAACAACTTTATGTGTTCCAAACATTTCAAGACGTGGCTATCCAGAAAGTATCACAAGCCATCGGCTTGTCCAACACATGCTTCGCTGAAGTCTGCGCCAGCGCACGCGCACTCGCTGAAATCATAAGAAGACCACAACTTTTTAGCCACCCGGTCGAATGATGCTATGTGGGCCACTCGCGCGCACAGGCCGAGGACATTCCACCACCATTGCGCGCACCAGAGCTCTGTCAAACGATCAAAGATTCCGCGCGTCTCTGGGCGCGCACGTCGATACCCGTGCCAAAGCCGTTGGTGTTCCAAACGTCTCAGCACAGAGGTTTTGAACAACACGCGAAACAAACAAGGGCTCTCAACAGAAAACATGCCAGGATGTCAGAATTTCAGCGGGCGCGCGCCTTCTCCACGCGATAACTACAATCAGCGTCCGCGTCATCACTACAATCGTCATCGTCTTCATCATTCTCGTCGGAATTGTCGCTGCCGCCGTCATCGCACACATTCCTTCGGTGCCAGAGTTTTCGCCAAATTGGGTTGTAGTATCGTTTTTTGAACTTCCTATGCTTGACCTGCTAATTGTTTTATGCATGTCTCCCAAATCCCAGCAATCTCAATTTCTACCGGCTTCCTTGCGACTCCATCCTGTACTCTGCTGTTGTGCGTGCGTAAGTCTCACGCATTCTTCTTGTGACCTGTGGTTCCCTGAAGGTTTCTGTGGTTTCCGATGGCTTCGTGTTGTTTTCCTACCCTTAGCCGTGTGGGCGCGTGGCAATCTTCTTATACTTTTGCCGAATATCCGCTTCCGTGCCGCAGGCACGGAGTCAAGCGTCCTCGGTCCCCGTAGAAGTCTCTGGGCTTCTCGCGTCGTTGCTCGCGGGGCTCCCCGCACGACTTCCCGAAGGCCACAGACTGCCAGCACGGGCCAAACGGGTCCCAAGAGACTCCCAAGACCGCCACCGAGTCGTCCCAAGAGCGCCCCAGGATGCTCAAGATGCCCGTCAGACGGCCCAAGGGGCCACCCTAAACGCCTCAATGTGACCCCCCAAAGGCCACATGCCATCAATTTTGGCTTCGCGTTAGTTCGTGTGTGTCTGTGTGTATATACCTGTATTCCTATATATGGACGAATATTGAAGTGTATATATCTATATGTACAGGTTTAGGTATGTATGTCCATACAAGTATGTTAACACGTATGTGCTTATGTATGAGTATGCGTATATGTGCCTGTGTATTTGTATGCGTATGCCTGTGTGAGTTCAGGTCTATGTGTATGTATATGCATATGTTTATGTACCTGAACACACATACGTGGATGATTATTCATTTGTATACTACACACATGCTGTTAGTTATATGTCTATATCTGTGCACGTGTATGTAGATGTATATGTACATGCATGCGTATATGTATTTGTTTATGCATATGCATTTGTCTATGTGCATGGCTTTGTGTGTATTTATTCATATAGCTGTAGTTGTATATGTGTATGTGTAAGCATGTGTATATGTATATGTGTAGGTACACGTATACTGATATTCGTTTGTTTATGTTCATGCACATGCATATATACACACATATATATATATATATGTATAGAGGCAGTTGCATACATCAATATACATTTGTGTATGCATGTCTGTGCATAGCTGTATATTTATACAAACATAATTGGACACAATTTGCTTTATCGAGCGTTCAACGCTCCAAAACGGCCCGAAGTCCCACCGACAAGGCCGCATGACGGCACACAAGGCGCTCAAAAAGGAGAGCCCGATCTTTCATGTCGAGCCTTTCTTCTGAAAGTGGCGCCCGAGACCGCCAGCAAACCCCCAATAAGCCCCCGTAAGCACCAACGCACCCCCAAGCTGTCCCAAGAGGCTTCTGCGAGGCTCCCCCGAAAGCCTTCAAGGCTTCCCAACAGACTTCAATCAACTTCGAAAAGGCTTCTTGTCCACGATCCAGCCCCGGTGGCGGGATGGGCCGAAAGCTAATGGATCCTCCGCCCCCTGGTGATTCGTCACCACGGGTGCACGGCGCGCCGGACTTTGGAAATGTTTTGTTTATTTTCCAAACAACTCCCAGTGGGGTTTCGGCCCGACCCACGGGCCACTGGGAAAACCTCCGGGTCATATGTCTTTCCAGCCCATGAGGGCTCCTTTAAGACGGCCAAGATGCCTCCAAGACTGCGAAGGTGGCCTCCAAAACGGTCCCGTAACGCTTCCAAGACGGCCAAGGTGGCCCCAATACGTCCCCAAATGTCCTCCAGACGGTCCACGAGGCCCCTCAGACACCCCAGGAGGGCTCCAAGAGGACTTCCAGGAGGCCAGCAGATTTGATTCCCCGTTGGGTTTTTCATGATTTTAGTGTTCTCGCCTTTCGGGTTTGCGACGCTCCAGGACGGGCCCAGAGGCTCGCAAGATCG